ATGGGGCCGCCCAGTGATGGAGGGGCCTAAATATTTCACTGCAATAAGCTCCCACCCTGCAGAATGAATTTGGGGAGCTCGTGTATATAGATTTTAAGCACCCTCGATCATGGTCACAAGTGGCATAGGCCTTATAACACAGGCTCGTGTCTTCTCTCTCCCCCAAATAAATCAAGAAGGACGCTAAGGATGCCGGGGTACAAAAGGGTCTCCAGAGGTCGTGTAGCTGTGAAAAAATTCAGAAAAATTATGATTGTTGATAAAATGTATATGTGATGAAAACTGCTTCAGTGCGGCTTTGTTTATATATTATGTTGGATTTTATATATATATATATCATATTTTGGAGTACTGCATGGAATTTTAGGATGAACTATTTCAGTCATATTTTCAGATGCTACAAATAACCTTATTAGGTGACTTTACTCTGACATTTATAGGGGCAGTCCAGCCCGGACAATAATCACCAGTAAGCTGATAGCGATGTGCGCTTATTACATTCCCCCCCCCCCACCACCATTTGTGCCTGCCCTAAAAGCTGAACTCCAGGCATAAAAACCTTCAATTAAATATATTATACAAAAGCCACAAAGGATATCAATTCACTTGGTGTACACAATGTGCAATTTGCAAGGCAGCAGTGACACCATCACTGTGCTGCACATGGCCTTGGCAGAGAACAGAGCTGTGGGAGGGAAACAGCAGGCTCCATCTACTACATGAGGTCTTTATTACAGGAGGGGGCGGAGACAAGACCAGTCACCCTGCACAAAGAGAGAGCAGTACTGACCAGTCTTTATTACAGGAGGGGGTTGAGACCAGACCAGTCACCCTGCACAAGGAGAGAGAGCAGTGACCGGTCTTTATTTCAGGAGGGGGCGGAGACCAGACCAGTCACCCTGCACAAGGAGAGAGAGCAGTGATCGGTCTTTATTACAGGAAGTCTCACACTGGTCTGGAAGAATTACACAAAGCTCACCAAGATTCAAGAAGAACACACATGACTCCCTTATGAGGACAATAATTGCTTTTCCCAGAGTCAAGGAAAGAGAAATTTACAAATGGCTGGCCTGCTATTGAAAATTTCACGTGTCAGTGCTGTTACATGGGAAGAGAGAGGACATGTGTCTTGTTTGAACAAGGCAGAGCTTTGGGCTTGCTTCTCTCATCCAACCTGTCCTGAATCTACCACATGTGACCTGTAGGTATAGTTTGTAATATGCTGGGGATGAATGGAGGGATTTTGTTGGAAATGTGCCTAAAGGTGAACCACCCGCCCCTCGAAATCCCAGCGGCTGATTTATAACTCTTCTATCCAGCTCTACCGAGAAATTCCTATACTCAGCGCCATCTAGTGGCGGCAGTGCTGTGTGAATGACAGAGTTCTGAATCAGTCACTTATCTGCGGCAGATGAAGGCCCCGTTCCCACTGCGTGATATGCAAATCGCGCGTTTGTCGTGCGATTTGCATATTGCGCGATATCGCGGGATTTGCTGTGCGATATCGCGTTCAAGCTTGCATTGAGCAAGCTTGAATCGTGGCTAAATCCCCTCCAAAAAGGGTCCTGCTGTAGCGACACACGACCTGCGACAGCAGGACCCATTGGAGCGCGATATCACGCGGTAATTTGCCGCGATATCGCGGGAATTACCGCACGATAAATCGCTCAATGTGAACGGGGCTTAAAGAACTATGGGGTCAGGGCTTTTCCCCATAGTTCTCCTTAGGGTAACGGGAGGACACAAACTAGCGTCCTCCCGTCACCCTAAGCTTAGTATACCGTGAGCTACAGCTCCCTGTATACTGAGACGCCGGAGCTGATCCCCAGACATCGATGTCGAGATCCGCCCAGCTGCGTGAATGACAGCTGGCTCTGCCTATCTAGAGGGAGAGCCAGCTGTACCCTCCCCCGTCCGTTCCACCAGTCAGCGCTGGCGGATCGGAGGGGGAAATCCAGCCCCTCCCCTGTCACGGCAGAGAGCCGTGACAGGATCGAGAGGTGAGCGAACGCCGGTATGTGAAAAGCACTCACCTCATAGTTCTCCTTTAAACTCAGGTCTCCCGCCCCAGCCAGACAGGACACAAATCCAAACCTTCCATCAGATATAACAGCTCCCATCTCTATATTACATCCGTGCTGTGCCTGGAGTCCAACTTTGAGTTCCTGAAGGGCCATAATGTTCATTAAACATAATTGTAGAGGAACGCAAACAGGGTGAGGGATAACATGAAAACCCATGGCATATATGTATCTGCAGTTAGAGATACTCCTAAACTCAAGCCTAGATTCCTGCATGGATAACGTCTCCAAATGAAGGGGCATTGCCGCCTCTGCTGTCCGGTGCGTTAATAAGGACCTGCTTGCTGCATCGTTGGCATGACTCATCAGAAGGTACCTTCCATAGGTATGAATGGCAATGCTCGTGGAGCGCTCCTCTCATGCAGAGATGTGAATGTGGCCCCTCAGGGCCCTGACACAGGAAGATGATCTAAAAGGATACATTGTTTTTTTCAGATATTTCGGCTAGAGTTTTCCTTTAAGTGAGTCTCATCCAATCACAATGAGACTTTAGTCATTTTCTACCGTAGAACCATCTCTCAGGTCTGATTTTCCGATAACCTTTCAATGTTCCTCGTCTTGTTTTGTTTTTTTTTTCTTCCCATACTTTGTTCAGTAAAGATCTAATGCCTAACTCTCCTGGTTCCTCTGTGTGTTTGGACTCGTCCCATGCTTTGTATTCAATCGCTTAGATCTGTGAAACCATCGGAGCTGCACCCGAAAACTGAGAATATGTACAACGGCAGAATCTGTCAGCAGTGGTTTCATTGGATGCCGACAACCCAATGTGAGTCGGGTCCGAATGTTACATAATATATGAGGTTGAATAAAGACATCTGCTTCCTCTAGCGCCGGCTTCGTTGGCACCACTGATTCTCCCCCGCGGCTCTTCAAGTTCCCCCTTATGCCACCACCGGCCCTGGCAATGGTCACAACTAAGTCTTATTTTTGGGGGTCTTATATTTTAGCAATTCCCAAAAATAGTACTAGGTCTTAATTTCGGGGAAACAGGGTATGTGTCCCTGTGTGGTCTTGTTTTTAAGAGTACCTGTACCCCTGTATGTTAGGGTCTCTGAGGAAGGTATCTAATTGATTTTTGAATGATTCAATACTCTCAGCTGATACCACTGCTTGTGGCAGGGAGTTCCAAAATGTAACCGCTCTGACTGAGAAGAAGAAGCCCCTACTCCCCTTTGTGGTTAAATCTTTTCTCCACCAGTTTTAGGTGACGGCCTCTAGTCCTTGTTACGGAGTTTACAGTAAAAAGTTTATTGCTGATGTTGCCATCTCCACCGAACATTTTGTACATTAAAATCATGTCCCCGCTAAGCCCTCATTCACACTGGAATCGGCCGGCACGCACAGCTGCGTGCTGCGCACACGGCCGTATTGGGCAGCTCCCGGGAAGGACAGGCGCTGCGTGTGATTAGTACGCAGCCCCTGTCCTTCTCTATGGGATTACGGCGCCCTACGCTCACCTCAAGTGCAGGTCTGTACGGGTGCGTGTTTCATGGCTGGGACGCAGACGAGATCCATCCTGACGGCGTGTGAGTACGCTCACCCACACGGACGTGCAGGGCGGTTGAACGTAGGGCAGCGTATGACTGCGTACTCCCATAGAGAAGGACGTGGGCTGCGTACTAATCACACGCAGCACCTGTCCTTCCCGGGAGCTGCCCAATATGGCCGTGCACGCAACACGGAGCTGTATGTGCGGGCCGATTCCGGTGTGAATGTACCTTGTCTCTGCTTTGGCCCTCCAGCCCCTTAATGAGCTTCATTGCCCTTCGGTGGATTCTCTCCAGCTCCAGGACATACTTTCTGTGGATTGGTGACCAAAACTGAACCGCGTACTCAAGATGTGGACGAACCAGCGATGTTGGACTAGAATGTTCCATGCAGCCCTTAAAGGAGAATTATGAGGCAAATGATCTTCACTCAGCCTCATAATCTCAGCCGCCCTGTGACAATAAAACTGTCACAGGTAGGCTCAGTAGTTCGGGAAGTGAGCGAACACATACCGGCGCTCGCTCACTTCTCGATCATCTCCCTGCAGAGAGCTGTGACTCACGGCTCCCTCCTGGGATTCCCCTGTCCGATCCTTCAGCGCTGACTGGCGGAATGAGAGGGGACGGGTACAGCTGGCTCTGCCTCTAGATAGGCAGAGTCAGCTGTCACGCAGCTGGGTGGATCTGGACATTACTGTCGGGATCCGTCCCGGCTGCGGCGTCACAGTATACCGCGAGGTGTACCTTGCGATATACTGAGCTTTGGATGACAGGAGGACGTTAGTTTGTGTCCTCACGTGACCCTTAGGAGAACTCCGGGGAAAAGCCCTGACCCCATAGTTCTCCTTTAACCACCCATCTTACACCCCACCCCCAGCTACTGATTGGCTGGAGGCTTCCTTCCTGGCACTATAGCCAATCAGCGACATTCAAAGTGTTGCCAAATGTCTCAGCTACTCCTGCGCTCATCAACCACGCCAGGCTTAGAGACCCCGTCACCGAGGAACTTCACCCTTATCTTCAAAATAACAACAAAGCCACCTTTATGAATGTCTAGTTATGACAATCTACACACACTTCTACATAATTGCAGCTTTTCATTCTTTACATACAGCTGTAATTGGGGTGCACCAATACCGGTTTTTCGGTATCGAGTATGAGTACCGATATTTATATTTCGGTACTCGCCGATACCGGGTACTTCCAGTAGCATGGAGCCTACTTCCCGGCCAATCGGCAATCCAGGAGGCAGGTCAATTAGCTTCAGTGCTGCTTGAATGTAAGATGATTTCTTATCGGTGGGCTGAGCTCCATGCTGATGTGATTTTTCGTGAAAGGGGGTAAAGGGCCGGTTTATGAAATGGGCAGGAAAAGGCCTAAAACTTATGGACTTCATGTCCCTGACCTAAAATAAAGTTCCACCGTTCTCCAGACTTGCATTCACCTCCATATGCCCCCTGTTCCGCTGTTTATTGACACGCAGCCATGATGTAAGCCTTCTCTGTCTCTTAGACTTCTATGGCGCTGTGTCCCACTCCCAAGGCTGAAGGCGATCTAGAAGTCTATGAGGCACAGCAGAACCAGGGTTTTGGATGGAGGCAACCATTTTGGGGTAATCAAGGTCAGGGGAAGGGGACAAAAAGGTTTCCTGCACTTAGTCTTAAAATCATTTAAATCAACCCTTTAAATGCACACTGTCACTGTTTTTCCCTTTACATATATTTGTTCACTTGCAATGTGACATTGAACTTAATTGAAAGTGTGACCATTCCCGATAGTCAAATCTGAGACTTTTTAATGTCTATTTGCTGAATGTGCTGGCCCAGCTATTCTGCCCCTCACTTTTTATGTAACTGCCGGGGAAGGAGAATACTATGGAACACGGATGCGCCACCGCAATACTGCAGCAGCTAAAAACCATAAATAACATCATGTCTCTGCGAATCATGTCTGTGGCTGAGAGTCTTGCAATGGCTCATGGGATTTGTAGTTTCACAACATCTGGAGTGCACATTGTCAACCCCGCTATAGCATGTCACTTGAGTGACAGCTCTGGGGCTGCTGACATCACATCCAAGATGGCGGCACCCAGCAGATGTCTCACACAGGAGATAAATAACAAACATTAAATGTGCATAGAATATTATGGGAAGCTTGTTGTGGAAATTAACGCGCTGATGACAGGGCCTCTTGAACGACGCTGCAACTCCTCGCTCTTCTTTACCCCGTCCAGCTTCCTCCGACTTTACGTACCACGCCGGGGGAAATCACTTCTACTACTTAGGAGGAAGATAAAATATAACGTGTCTTATTACACCCCTCATAATTATCATTAAACTTTATTTTTGTCATTTAAAGGAATATTCCACCTTGAAGGGCTTCCCCAATGTTATACCAATATTTAGGGTGTAACATGAAACATGGTCACATGCCCTGCCCCCGCTTACCTAAATTGTGGGGTTCTGCTCCCTGCAAAATTCTGTTTTGAATTTGTCATGGCTGTGCCAACCTTTCACAGCAATCTGTCAAAGGGAAGACTACCGTTCATATCTGTCAGACTGTGGTGGAGCACAAGTGTGGTGGTGCGGGGGACACAAATAATGCAGGAGAATGCACTTGCAATGCACTGATCGCATTTGCAACCCTATGCATGCTTCAATGCAAACATTTTACTATTGCATAATTTTGCTTTAATGTTAATGTGGGCACGTCTTACATTTCTGCAATAGGTGGACTGCTGCAGCGCTGAATACTGAAAAATGGCCTGGATGGGAAGGGGGTTTAACACCGCGGATGTCAACTGGTTAACAGCGCTCCACAAAATAGCTAAAACAAAAACAGCAAAATTACCCAAAAAATAAGAAGGAATTGGGAAAATATCTCTCCGCTTTCACGTTCCGGGTCGTAATGTGAGGATGTCCCTAGAAATGGGCTCTTAGCTGCCGACATCAGCCGATCAGGACGAGACCCGCAATAAACTGCACAGCCCCAGTACTAAGTCCTGTCCTGCCCACAATAAACATGGCCACCTGTTGGAGGCGAGGCCCGTGACGTCACTATCCAGCGTCAGGTCGCGCTACCGTTAACACGCTCTTTGCTCGTTGGCATCATGGCGGCGCCCGTAGATGGCGTGACGACGAGCGAAATGGAGGAGAAAACAGAACCGATCCCGGGATTTCCCGACACTGACAGCTTTGTCAAGGTGCCTGAACACTGAAATCACCTCCCGGGGACATGTTACAGATTTATGATGTTATATCAGTGCGTGTCACTGGGAGCGACTCTGTGTACTGGGCTGTTATCATATTATACTGGGCTAATATCACACTATACTGGGCTAATATCACACTATACAGGTCTGTACATGGTGTATACAGCTAGACACAGGGCCGTATACGCTACATGGTGTATACAGCCAGACACAGAACCGTATACTGTGCTGTACATGGTGTATACAGCCAGACACAGGGCCGTATACTATACTGTACACATCACACTGTATATGGTGTATACAGCCAGACACGGGACCGTATACTGTACATGGTGTATACAGCCAGACAGAACTGTATACTGTGCTGTACATGGTGTATACAGCCAGACACAGGGCCGTATACCGTACTA